CAGAGGTGTTAACAGCTTTTTAAACATTTAATAGAATTTATCTGTAAATCTGTCTGACCAGGGTGTTTTTCCTTCATAGTTAGTTTCATTTTTTTTTTGAGATTGGATTAAGATAGATTTTTTTCAGGTTCAATTAATTTATATGTTTTATATTTTACAGGTAATCATCTTTTAAATTCTCAATATTTCTGGCATTGAATTGTATATATTTGGTTCTGGTAATACTAATTTCTTCTATTTGTTGTGACATTTGTTAGTTTATTTAGAATTTTCATAATTTGATTCCCTCCCCCCTTTTTTTAACTAGTTAACTAAAGGTTTATCAATTTATTAGTTTTTTTTTGAAGAAGTGGCCTTTAGTTTTATAAATTCTGTAGTCTTTTCACTTTCCATTTTTATTTATTTCTCCTCTAATATTAAACTTTTCCTCTGTGTTTATTTTTTATTTATTTTCTCATTTTGACATTACATCTTTTGTTCAATAACTCCTTCCTTTTCTATTTTGTTAATGTATGTTTTCAGAGATGTAACTGTTGCTGTAAGGTCAGATTTAGCTGCATACCAGAAATTTTGATATATTGTTTCATTTTTATAATTATTTTTTACATTATTATTGTTTCTATGATTTGTTATATTAGTTTTGCATGTTTTGCTTGTATTTACTACATGATTATTATTTTATTGTGATATTATTTGTAAAAGATATGTTTCATATTTCTGCTTTTTTACATTTAATTATAATTTTATTCTAGCCTCTCTGTGCCATAGGGCATAGCCTAGAGTTTTTTGTTTTTTTGTAAAAGTATCATATAGTGCTGAGAAATATGTATATTCTTTAATGTTTCCATTTGGAAAATGCCATAAAATTTTCTTCAGTCTTACAGTTTCCTTTTTGTTTATCATTCTGTCAGATTCATTTAGATCTGAGAGAGGAATGTTAACATCTCCTATGATTGTTGTGTTACTATCTGTGTCTTTTTGCAATTCAGTTAACTTTTCCTTTTCAAATTTAAAGCTATGTCATTTGGTGCTTATAGGTTCAGTATTGATGTTGGTTCATTGTCTATGGTTCCTTTAAGTGTAATGTAGTTTCCCTATTTATTTCTTCTGATAATAGCATATCAATAGGAACTGAGTCTTTGATTTCATGGTATAGGAAATTCCTCAGTGGGGAAATTCCATCTATTGAGACAGGTTGGCACTTTCTCTTCAACTTGTAGCTTTAAAGAGTTGCCTAGAACACTAAGGGGTTAAGTGACTTACCTAGGAACACATAGTATGTATCAGAGATAGGACTTGAGCCCAGTTCTTCTTGGGTCCAAAGCTGGGGTCTCTCTTGACCACACCAGCTTCCTTTAATATACATTTTTCTTTTTACGTTGTCTGATAGCATGATTACAAGTCCTGTTTGTTTGTTTTTTTAAGTTCACTGTACATATAGTAAATTTTGTTCTAGTCTCTTACGTTCAGTCACTATTTTTTAGATGTGTTCTTTTTTCAGCTGTGATTTCAAGTCAGAAAGACCTGGATTTGAATCCTTTGATACTACCAGCTATATGACACTAGGCAAGTCACTTATATCTCTGGACCTCAGTTTCCTCATCTGTGAAATGAGTAGAATAATAGAATCCACATCACAGGTTGCTGTAAGGATTAAATTAGATAATGTGCATAAAATGCTTTGCAAAATCTTAAAGTATTCTCTATCCGTATCAGCTATTTTAAGCATCGTCAGCTAACTTCACAACCTTGGACAGTCTATTAGATGTTCCTGGTCCCTGTCAAGATACTTTTGCCCAGAACTTAGGAAAAGGGGAAATAGGTCCTGGCTTGTGATTTGTGAAGGATAAACTCAGGAAATAACCTTTTGTTTCACAGCCACAAACGCCCAGGGAGGGGGTGGTGGTGGTGGGTGCTGGGTGCTGGGTGGTGGTGGCACAGAGCAGGAATCAGTTGACCTCATTCTTAGCCCTCTTCCTCTCCTCCAGCAACATGGGTACTAGAAGATAGCTAGTCATAAGAGCCTACCTGCCTCCTCCCCCAGACCCCCAAAGTCTTTCTGGCTTCTTCTCCTTAAAGGAGGGGCTAAGAAGTTGACACCAATGTGGCTGGCTTCATTCTCTTGTGTAAAGCCTGAGAACTCTTGCCATTGGGTTAAGCCATCTTTTCAAGCAGGAAAGCCACTAGCAGTGGGGTTCAGTGGAAAGAGCGATCTTTCTTTCTGCAATCAAAGAAGGCAGGGCTCAAATCCCACTTCTGGCCCTTTCTCCCAATATGACCTGCTCAAGGTCACACTTTACTTCCCTGGGCCTCAGTTTCCCCATCTCTAAAATGAACCTCAGTGAAGACATTGATCAGTGATGGAAGTAAGGTGCCTGTGAATCTAATGAAGTCAAATAGGGTATCAGCACTGAAATTAAAGGCACTGATTTCATCTTAATAATTACTACTAAATTAGAAATTCACTAATCAATCTTCCTTGGGGATGAAGGGGACAAGAGCTCTGTGTGTATACTTATTTCACTGAGGGAAGAGAGAGAGAGAAAGAGAGAGAAAGAGAGAGAAAGAGAGAGAGAGAGAGAGAGAGAGAGAACGAACATAATGGGTCCCTCTTCTTTTGAAAAGGTCATGTTTCATAATAGCTACCGGCATTTATTTATTAGCCCTTTAAGGTTTGCAAAGCGCTTCACAAATGTTTTCTCATTTGGTCCTCTTAACAATCCTCATAGGCATCATAATAGGTGCTATTATTATTCCTATTTTACAGATGAGGAAATTAAGACAGGCAGAATTTAAGAGACTTGCTCAGCATCTCACAGCTAGTAGTCATCTGAAGCAGGATTTGAACTTAGGTGTATCCTGGCTCCAAGTCTAGCTCTCTGTGCACTGTGCTCCCTGGCTGCCATTAGAGCTGGAAAAGGCCATCCAGTCAATCTCCCTCATTTTCCAAATGAAGAAACAGAAGCCTAGAGATATGGGATCACACATCTGGTAAGTGTCTGAGAGGGGATTTGAACCCTCGTCTTCCGGACTCCCAGTCCAGAACCCTATCCGTCCACCATCCAGGGGTGGGGAACCTGCGGTCTTGAGGTCATATGTAGCCTTCTAGGCCCTCAAGTGCGGCCCATTGACTAAATCCAAATTGCACAGAACAAATCCCAAGCCACATGTGACCTCAAGGTTGCAGGTTCTCCACCTCTTCTACCAAGCTGCCTCTCATGACTCGACTCTCCATTTTTGCCATCTACCAATGGGTTAAAAATGGAGGAATGCAAAATTTTCCAATCCCTCACATGCCCTCATAGTGCCTCACATGCCAATCCCTCACATGCCCTAAAATACTCTTAGGCTCAACTGGCCCACACGTTCCTTTATCAGCTGGCAGTCCTCCAACCCCTTGAGGACAGGGCAAGAGTGTATAAATTATGTGCCCCAAGAAAGAAGATGCAGACTAGAGATCGTTATCTGTATATTTTACACTAAGGCTAAGATTACAGAGTCTCACATGCACTAGGTGCTTAAATCTGTTGCATTGGAAGGAACTTTTTTTTCCTTCCTGAAATCATCAGATAGTTCACGTAGAAGGTGGTAGCAGTTTTTGTTTAGTTCTGTTTTTTGTTTTTGTTGTTGCTATAGTTCTTTCCTGGGCTCCCTACACAATGTCTTTACTGTTTTATTTCCTTGGGATGTATTTTCAAGATTATGATTTTTAGAGACCCGCAAACCAGGCACCACTTGAGGCATTTTGGTCGTTAGAGTCCTTTAAGTGGAAAGACAAATCAGATAAGTCAGATGCTGAACACCATTTCAACAAAACAAATACCAGTCTGTTCCTCTTCCCAGGCGCTATGCCCCTCTCCCCTCCATTGTAATGTTTTTTTTTTTTTTGGTGAGGCAATTGGGGTTAAGTGACTTGCCCAAGGTCACACAGCTAGTACATGCCAAGTGTCAGTTGGTCTGAGGCCAGATTTGAACTCAGATCCTCCTGACTTCAGGGCCGGTGCTCTATCCACTATGCCACCTAACTGCCCCTAT